GTGTGGCTCTAACAAATGATCATGATCTGAGGAGAATAGTGTGGCTCTAACAAATGATCATGATCTGAGGAGAATAGTGTGGCTCTAACAAATGATCATGATCTGAGGAGAATAGTGTGGCTCTAACAAATGATCATGATCTGAGGAGAATAGTGTGGCTCTAACAAATGATCATGATCTGAGGAGAATAGTGTGGCTCTAACAAATGATCATGATCTGAGGAGAATAGTGTGGCTCTAGCAAATGATCATGATCTGAGGAGAATAGTGTGGCTCTAGCAAATGATCATGATCTGAGGAGAATAGTGTGGCTCTAACAAATGATCATGATCTGAGGAGAATAGTGTGGCTCTAACAAATGATCATGATCTGAGGAGAATAGTGTGGCTCTAACAAATGATCATGATCTGAGGAGAATAGTGTGGCTCTAACAAATGATCATGATCTGAGGAGAATAGTGTGGCTCTAACAAATGATCATGATCTGAGGAGAATAGTGTGGCTCTAACAAATGATCATGATCTGAGGAGAATAGTGTGGCTCTAACAAATGATCATGATCTGAGGAGAATAGTGTGGCTCTAACAAATGATCATGATCTGAGGAGAATAGTGTGGCTCTAACAAATGATCATGATCTGAGGAGAATAGTGTGGCTCTAACAAATGATCATGATCTGAGGAGAATAGTGTGGCTCTAACAAATGATCATGATCTGAGGAGAATAGTGTGGCTCTAACAAATGATCATGATCTGAGGAGAATAGTGTGGCTCTAACAAATGATCATGATCTGAGGAATATAGTGTGGCTCTAACAAATGATCATGATCTGAGGAGAATAGTGTGGCTCTAACAAATGATCATGATCTGAGGAGAATAGTGTGGCTCTAACAAATGATCATGATCTGAGGAGAATAGTGTGGCTCTAACAAATGATCATGATCTGAGGAGAATAGTGTGGCTCTAACAAATGATCATGATCTGAGGAGAATAGTGTGGCTCTAACAAATGATCATGATCTGAGGAGAATAGTGTGGCTCTAACAAATGATCATGATCTGAGGAGAATAGTGTGGCTCTAACAAATGATCATGATCTGAGGAGAATAGTGTGGCTCTAACAAATGATCATGATCTGAGGAGAATAGTGTGGCTCTAACAAATGATCATGATCTGAGGAGAATAGTGTGGCTCTAACAAATGATCATGATCTGAGGAGAATAGTGTGGCTCTAACAAATGATCATGATCTGAGGAGAATAGTGTGGCTCTAACAAATGATCATGATCTGAGGAGAATAGTGTGGCTCTAACAAATGATCATGATCTGAGGAGAATAGTGTGGCTCTAACAAATGATCATGATCTGAGGAGAATAGTGTGGCTCTAACAAATGATCATGATCTGAGGAGAATAGTGTGGCTCTAACAAATGATCATGATCTGAGGAGAATAGTGTGGCTCTAACAAATGATCATGATCTGAGGAGAATAGTGTGGCTCTAACAAATGATCATGATCTGAGGAGAATAGTGTGGCTCTAACAAATGATCATGATCTGAGGAGAATAGTGTGGCTCTAACAAATGATCATGATCTGAGGAGAATAGTGTGGCTCTAACAAATGATCATGATCTGAGGAGAATAGTGTGGCTCTAACAAATGATCATGATCTGAGGAGAATAGTGTGGCTCTAACAAATGATCATGATCTGAGGAGAATAGTGTGGCTCTAACAAATGATCATGATCTGAGGAGAATAGTGTGGCTCTAACAAATGATCATGATCTGAGGAGAATAGTGTGGCTCTAACAAATGATCATGATCTGAGGAGAATAGTGTGGCTCTAACAAATGATCATGATCTGAGGAGAATAGTGTGGCTCTAACAAATGATCATGATCTGAGGAGAATAGTGTGGCTCTAACAAATGATCATGATCTGAGGAGAATAGTGTGGCTCTAACAAATGATCATGATCTGAGGAGAATAGTGTGGCTCTAACAAATGATCATGATCTGAGGAGAATAGTGTGGCTCTAACAAATGATCATGATCTGAGGAGAATAGTGTGGCTCTAACAAATGATCATGATCTGAGGAGAATAGTGTGGCTCTAACAAATGATCATGATCTGAGGAGAATAGTGTGGCTCTAACAAATGATCATAATCTGAGGAGAATAGTGTGGCTCTAACAAATGATCATGATCTGAGGAGAATAGTGTGGCTCTAACAAATGATCATGATCTGAGGAGAATAGTGTGGCTCTAACAAATGATCATGATCTGAGGAGGAGAATAGTGTGGCTCTATCAAATGATCATGATCTGAGGAGAATAGTGTGGCTCTAACAAATGATCATGATCTGAGGAGAATAGTGTGGCTCTAACAAATGATCATGATCTGAGGAGAATAGTGTGGCTCTAACAAATGATCATGATCTGAGGAGAATAGTGTGGCTCTAACAAATGATCATGATCTGAGGAGAATAGTGTGGCTCTAACAAATGATCATGATCTGAGGAGAATAGTGTGGCTCCAACAAATGATCATGATCTGAGGAGAATAGTGTGGCTCTAACAAATGATCATGATCTGAGGAGAATAGTGTGGCTCTAACAAATGATCATGATCTGGGGAGAATAGTGTGGCTCTAACAAATGATCATGATCTGGGGAGAATAGTGTGGCTCTAACAAATGATCATGATCTGAGGAGAATAGTGTGGCTCTAACAAATGATCATGATCTGAGGAGAATAGTGTGGCTCTAACAAATGATCATGATCTGAGGAGAATAGTGTGGCTCTAACAAATGATCATGATCTGAGGAGAATAGTGTGGCTCTAACAAATGATCATGATCTGAGGAGAATAGTGTGGCTCTAACAAATGATCATGATCTGAGGAGAATAGTGTGGCTCTAACAAATGATCATGATCTGAGGAGAATAGTGTGGCTCTAGCAAATGATCATGATCTGAGGAGAATAGTGTGGCTCTAACAAATGATCATGATCTGAGGAGAATAGTGTGGCTCTAACAAATGATCATGATCTGAGGAGAATAGTGTGGCTCTAACAAATGATCATGATCTGAGGAGAATAGTGTGGCTCCAACAAATGATCATGATCTGAGGAGAATAGTGTGGCTCTAACAAATGATCATGATCTGAGGAGAATAGTGTGGCTCTAACAAATGATCATGATCTGAGGAGAATAGTGTTGTGTGGAGTGACTCAAGGGGAAAAGTCAGATGGATATTTAATCAGGCTGTTACTGGTGCCATGGAAATTGGAAACTCTGTGCTTGCTGCTGAAGATGGGGATGAAGCGCTGATGAGAATACTCTGTATGCTGTGATGTCCATTCTTAAAATTCAGTCATATGATGATGATGATGATAACGATAAGACAATATTATCATGTGTCATATCTTTTCAGATATGACTGAGCCACCATATAATGGTAGTTGGTAGCACCTTTCTTTTAAACTAATATCTTTTTTTCCCTTAGTGTTCAATGGCTGTAAACTTCAGTGAAAAGTTCTGGTTGTTTATCCACTTCTGAACTTTAGACTTGTTATAAAACTTGAGTTTTGTGTGCAAGTCTGTTTTACAGATCTGGCATTTTTGTATGCAGACTGTTGGCTCCCCACAATTCAGGCAGATGCCCTCTGACTCAACCATCTAATAAAGGAACTATTGCAATGCCCTACATATTTATTCATTCATCATCCTGAGTTGAGTTGAGTCAAGAGTTGACATCACAGCACTCTGGGCATTCCCATACACCTTTCCTCTGAGTGCCTTATTCACCCATGTGCCTCATTCTCTTTAGGCCATAATAATCAATTTTTTTTAAAACTAATTCCTTGACCACATCTGCCTTGTCATGTATTAATTCACCACCCAGTGGTGCAGATCCAGCCAGTCTGTCTGCCTGTTCATTACCCACTACACCGGCATACTTGGAGAAAATATCCAAAGTATGCTCACTACCCATGAGCTTTCTGGTGAAGCTTGCCACTCTGCTCGAAGCATACCTGTCTTCACCTTTCTCAGCAGGCTTTCAGTGTCTGTTACAATTACACCATGTGTATGCATCTTGTTCTCTAGCCACTGGAGAGCTGCAGTTGCTGCCCCCACCTCCACCATCATCCTCGTGTGCCATTATATAGCACACAGGGCTGACAGTCTATTTATCCATTCCATTCTATCCTGTGCAGTCACTTCAATATCACGGCTGCAATCCTTTGGCCTTTGCCTTAACCTTCTCCTAAAGGTTTCTCTAGGACATCCTTGTTTCCAGCTATTTTCTATCTTCCGGTGTTGATTCCAGGGGCCATTTTGAGGGGGTTGAAAAGAACAGATCCACCGCCTTTTAAAAAGCATGTCGTAAAAGTGGACTAATGAGGGATTTCCTGAAATTTGATTTTTTTGGAGGCAGAAATGAGCAAATATCACAGCTTAGCCGTATTAAAAAAAAAAAAAAAGTTTGCTGACTGCCATTTTAGCTTTTTCCATTCTAGACTGGCATAGTTAATGCTTGAGCCACTTAATAATGACAGCAGCAACAATATAGCTGTACTGTATTCACACAAACCAAATACACAGCAAGTTAGAGGCGACAAATATGTTGTTGAACTACTAGAATATGTCTTGACTAAATGAAAGGTATAGAAACATTCACATAACATGCTCACTGATGCACATAAGTACTGTGCAGTCACACAGTGCACTGTTTGGTACTTAAAAAGTTACAGGCAAAGGGAGATGAGTGGACTTGATTCAAGAACTGACATCACAGCACTCGGGGCATTCCCATAAGCACTTCATCCTCATCTTCCTCAGCCAACGCAGAGTTCCGATACTAATGATGCCAGTAGCATTCTGATTAAATGTTCATCTTGCCTTTCCTCTGAGCCTCGAGCATCTGCCTGAACCCCTCCTCACTCTCCGCTGCATCAATCTCACCAGACTGTGGTGGTAGGCGAAGGGAGAAGAGAAAAAAGATTAGGTTAACTCACCTGTGTTTCCACTGATCTACTTCCCTTGTCAAATTATCCACACATCTGTTAAGCTGATCCACATTTTCTTGCTGCTGTAACCTGCTATGTGCCGCACCCAATTCAGACTCTAACTTCTCAACCTTATTTTGCAAAAAACTGACGTCTGCTAGCAGCTTTGAGTTCTTGTCTGCCTCATGTGAAAGTCTAGAGGTACAACAAAAAACCAAGCAGCGTCTGACCATTCTGCTAAGTAAGTAAAGAACAATTTGAAAGACAGTGGCATATTTTGTTAACTCTTTGAGTCCCAGGGGGTTTAGCATCACAGGCCCAAGGGGTAGTCAAGAAAGACGTAAAATCAGCTCATCTTGCGTTAATTGGGCTTTATGCATTGTTCTCCTCTTACCAAACATGTCTTCATTTAACACTTCATATAGCTGCTTTTGTTAGCCCATCGACACTTGTCACCAGCATCAATGAGCGGCGGCCCACCCCCCTATCGCCCCCACATCCTTTTCTGTCTTCTCCTCTCCCTACAATCAAAGATGCTTGGCGACATGGAGTCTAATGGAAACATCATTTGCCACGTTGAATAAATACATGTACATTATCATCGAAATGTACCGTTTCCGCTGACAGACCTAACAGCCCCAGCTTTCCTTTAACCGCCCGGTCCTCTCTGCCTCCCTCCGTCTCTATTTTCTGTTTAATGTCAGTGAGAAACGGTACAAATCATCATCATTTTATTCACATCATTTTATTGATTTTGCTTTTGTTTCACAAGAGATTTGTACAAATATGTTTCAACAAATAAACACTTAAAAAAAAAAAAAAAAAAAAAAAAAAAAAGTTAATTGGGCTTCTAGGTAGGAATCTATGAATGTATGAGGCGTTCCTTGGGACTCAAAGAGTTAAAGACCTACTGACACTCATCGGTGATGTGGTGAGCACCATGCTGGCTGACTTTACTTTCCTGAACATTACCTGGGACCCATTTTTGGCTGGGTCAACCCAGAAGCCAAGACAAATTTTGAGGAGAAAAAAAAAACAAACCAGAATCTGATTCAATGCCAGTTTGAACCCAAGATCTTCAGGCAGGCGAGCATCTAGTCACTATTTCACCAAAGATTTCAAATTTTCTCATAGAGTCTATTGTTAACATTGGTTTCACTGTAGATTCTTTCCCCCATCACGGCTTTCTACAATCAAGTGCCATCTTCACAATGATGTTTGGCTGCAATGGATCAATATTTTTGGCCATTTTATGAGAAATTGGTGACGACTGGCAATGCTGATGAAAAAACAAAACAGCAAGAGGAAAGCAAAGTGACAAAGAAAAACATAGATGAATAAAAACAAACCTTGATGGTTTAGCTCTATGGGTGGAACAAGACAAGACATTGGCCAGATGATGATACAATGATTCTCCAGCTTTTTTTTTTTAATCACCACAGTCTGGTGAGACTGATGCAGTGGGGAGTAATGAGAGGTTCTGGCAAATGCTCAAGGCTCAGGGGAAAGTATCGGAACTCTTCACTGTCTGCTGAGGATGGGGACGAAGCACTTATGGTAATGCCCTGAGTGCTGTGATGTCAGTTCTTGAATCAACTGAACCCAACTCAACTCCAGCCTTTTCTGTCTCTGAATATGGCTGTCCACTTTAAAAAAAAATGTTATCTACATCTTTATATCGTTGTTTATTTCTTACTCGCTTGTAACTGTTTATTTCAGTATGGCTGTTAGCCCGGTCATCCTGAGATGACCAAATCTAGTCACTCTCTGTTGTAACTTCTTCTTCTTCTTCTCTTCCACCTTGTATCTCATTGAAGTGTCGGGGGAGATGTAATGTACATGGATGAGCTCTATCAATAGCACTATTAAGACTGATGTTCATTTCTGTAAGGCTGTTCTTAATGCCATCACTCTATATTTTCTGAGGTCTTCCACTGGCTCTATACCCGTTGTAACGTTTTAGTGTGGCTCGCTGTGGCAGATAGTACCAGGGAATTCTTGTTAGGTGTCCAAACCACTTCATTTGTTGTTCTTTGATGACCTGTAAGACTGGCTTTATTCCTAGCATTCGTCTGATTTCATGATTTCGTATTCTGTCTTTCCTTGAAACTCCTGCATCTCTTCTAAGGCATTTCATCTCTGTTCTCACAATTTTACGTTCATTGGAGGATGTAAGTGTCAACGTTTGGCATTGATAGCATAGTGTTGGCCATAAAATAGTTCTGATAAGATTCACTTTAGTACTCTGAGGTATCTGCTTGTGTGTCAACAGTAACACAGTCCTGAAAAGGCAGATATATGGCCATATCTGCAGTGAATAACATTTTTTTGTTTTAAAATGTAGATAAGTAAATAATTTATTAGTGACCTGTGCAATATGTTTTTTGTCTTCTTTTTCATCTTCTTCGCATTCACCAGTTGTTGGTCCACTTCTGGACTTTAGTCCTTTTTTCCGGTTAAAATGGACGCTAGACAGCGGCGCCGTTCGGAACAGAGGCAAATTTTTTGCTTCTGCCGGACGGTGGCCGATGCATTTTTGCTCCATTTGTAGACTGGATATAGTTTCGTCACCCAGCTTCTGAGTTGAATGCATGGCGTGACCCTGTGAGCTGCGGATTGCATTTGGAATGTTTTTTTTTTGACTGTGACCAACGTGGTGGTGTGAATTGTAGATTCAGAAAATGGCGCGATGCCTGTCGTTCAATGCTTGCGGGACCCGTATTAAAATTGATCACGCGGACAACTGCTGATCTGTTGACGACAAGTTCTGCTTTTATCAATGATGAACTGCATTTCTAATGTTGGACTGTTTGTGTTAGCACTTCGGATGGCTACCATATGCTTTAATGCGAGTGTATGCTAGATATGCTGAGACAGCAGTCAATCAATCTTTCCACAAGGGACTGTGATAGACATTCTGAGTGTTTTTCGCTGGCACAGGAGCGGAGCAAAGATGGGGCAACCCGTTTGCTATGAAGCTGAAACTAAGACTACCAGACTACCAGTCCTTTTTTTCCATAAATTGAGTTCTGTATGCCCATCCATTTTACAGATGTTTTACTTGGATGCAGACTGTAGGTTCCTCGCCTCTCAGGCAGATCCACTTCGACTTTAAAGAAAACTAATTTTCTAACTCTTATGACATCCTTGTTAGGAAAAATTGGGTCTACCCCCCCGCCCCCACCCTCGAGGATGAGGACCCAGAACCCATATGGAAATTAGGACATAATTCTTTTTATTAACGTTGTCATTGGAGATTCATCATCATAGGATGGTAATATGATAATGATTAAGTTCCAAATATGATATCCAAGTATGCATACGTTGAAAATGTTAACAGAGAGCAATGAGCATGTACAGTACTAACTTGTTCTGAAGGTCACAGATACTCGTCTGCTGATTGTTGCACTGCGTCTGCAAGGAACTCCTGCTATGAGCACCAACTTCAATTTCATTTCTGTAAAATAGGATTATGTTTCTGAAAAGACTGACAGAAGATTTTGTTTGCCTTTCTTCTTCTTGTTCTTTGCCTGCATTAATCCTTTTAAAGATGGTTGGCACTGTGTTGTTTTTTACAACTAGGCTTAAATTTGGGCCATTGTCTTCCCATGAATCATCAGTACATGTCAAGAACCTCACCCGCATCTCGCCGGGTGTGAGATTTCGTGTCAGCATCCATTCATACTATGGCCATTCTCATGGGCTGTCTCATGTTCTAGGGGTGGTAGCATATGCGTTCTTTCCCCTTTGATGTCAATATATAGCGTGCTGAATAAAGGGTCCAGTTCGTCTGAGGCTGACAGGAAGTGCGCAGCTCTTTTCGTGGCAGGCGACGGTGAGTGATCGTGTGCATGTGTGCACGTGTAGGCGAGTGAATGTTCAACTAGTTTTTCTTTTCACATACGTCCCGTCTGCTACTGTCACTTGTTTGAGACCTAGTGGCATTTTCAAGTAAGGTGATAGTGATGAAGAGCCAACTCACAACGCTGAAACACACACAGAGCTGGCCGCTCAAAACGTAGAAAACAGAATGTGCTGGCCACTCATAACATGGAATACAGAATGCTTACGCCATTGAAAATACAACATATACCCTAGAACATAGGACAGCCAGTGGTAACAGCTAAGGCATGAATGGTGACAATGAATCTTGCGCCCAGCAAGATGTGGTGAAGTTTGTGATATGTACCGGATCATTTGTAATTCACTTGCTTAGTTGTGAATTCTCTGCAAGACTGTGGGTTTAAACTTTTCATTTTTGACCTTTTCAAAATGTTGGGGGAAAAAATGCATTGTTTTCATTCTTTGAAACTCTACACCAAGAGACAAGAGGAAGAGAAAAAGAAGCTGATTAAATTGCAGTCATCATCAGTTAAAAAAAAAAAATTCAAAAATCCAAAGGGGTTGAAATCTATGACTACTGAGCAACCAGGCAATCGTTTTAGCTGTTGTATCATCAAGACCCCCACCCCTTCCAAGTCACTAAAAAGATTGATTTTTTTCAAACATTTAGGATAAAATTTTTTCTTAAAAATTGAACGCAAGTATTCAATGAATATAAATAGTGCAAAGAAATAAATATGTTCTGCAAATTTGAAAAAAATAAAACACAAAAAAACACAAGGGTTTTGTTTAACTCTGAGTCCCAGAGGGTTTAGCACGACAGGCCCAGGGGGTAGTAAATCAAGTAATAAAATCAGCGCATCATGTGTTCATTGGGCTTCTAGGTAGGAACCTATGAATATATGATGCGTTCCTTGGGACTCAAAGAGTTAACTGTGGTCTTGTAGTGGGAGGCTGTCCTGAGCACTTTTGTTGCAGCTAAAGAGAGCAAAGTGATGTCATCATAAGTTTATCATGTCACAACGAACAAAAAAAATTATAATTTTTTCCCACGATAAAAGTCCAAAAAAAATGGGTGATAGGGTGGGGGAATAATCTAACCCACCACATCCACACACTGTACAGAAGCAAGCAGTACCAAAGCTATTTTAAAGATCTATTGGGCCCTGCACAAATTTGTTTTGTCATCAAAAACCTATAAAAGTAGGAAAACTGGCTTTTTTTTAGGTGACTGGGTTAGAAAATGTATTTACTGGTACCATAAGAGTTAAATCTGAAGAATTGAGGGAGACCAGGAAGACGGAGGTGGGGGGGGGGGGTACAAGCAAACACCATAATTGTAACTGACTCAGAAAGCTTTTTCTTGCAGAGTGGCATGCTTCGCTTCAGAGGTCACGGGTGAAGAGAATTATGTAGATCATTTCTCTGTGGTATGCCGGTGTGTTGGGAAAAGAACAGGTGGACTGAGTGGCTCATCATCATCATCATGTAGCAGGTCTTTTGCAGAACATCGCTCTCATCACGGTCTGCCTGAAAGAAACTCGGTCTCTTCCAGTTCTCCCTCCTCATTTACTTTCATACTCAAGGAGTCACTTACATCCTGTGCCCATATTCGTGTCGGTCAGCCCCTGCCCCTCCTTCCTGGTACCATGCCTTCTGCTATAATTTTTATCAATCCATCGTGGCACTTAATATGACCAAAATATTTCAGCTTCCAAGACAAGATGCTGTTTATTAGCAAATCTTCCTTGATGTCCAGATCTTTCAAGATATCATTATTTCTCCTCTTCTTTGTCTAAGATATTCTGAGAATCTTTCTATAGCATTTGAGCCCCAATTCTCTTTCTTAAGGAGAGAGTCCACGACTCACATCCGTATGTAGCCACAGGAAAGATTTATGCTCTCAAAATTCTATTTTTGGTCTCCTTGCTGGTGCTTAACCATAGACTTTTAAGGCTGTTCAATCTTTGCATTGCTATGGCCAACTGCCTTTTAATTTCTATAGCTCTGCACAAATTAGTGAAATATTATTGAGTGATAAGGCAGACCTGGTTAAGGCTTTTTTTTGAGTACGTATACAATTTGGAACAGAAAACTGGTCATAAGTCTGGTGACATTGATGCAGCGGGAAGTGACGAGGGGATCTGGCCGATACTCAGTGCTCAGAAGATGGACATATACTTAAGACTGCTACTGGCACCAATGGTATTGGAACTTTGTGCTGGCTGCTGAAGACTGGGGACTGAGCACTCATAGGAATGCCCCGAGTGCTGTGATGGTGGTTCTTAAATGAACTCATCTCAACAGAGTGAAGACCTGAAAAGTGTGTCAAGATCAACCAAGAGACAGAACCCAAATCTTCTATAGGACGTCATTTACTTGACTCGAGGCATGTAATTGACAGAGTCTGTCTTCTTATTTACTACATACCAGATAGGCATTTAATAAAACTAGCAAAAGCAGTGCAATAAAAGTAACAATGCTGTGTTATGCAAACAAAATAGCATGAGGTACCTCAATTTCTCTAACTCTGCCTCATAGATTCTTTTGAGGTTAGCAATCTCTTCCTCGTGAATTTTTACAAGTGCCGCAAAATCTGCTGGACCTGTAACATGCCGATCCAACTGCCGAACATAACTGACATAAGCTGAGAACTTGTCAGCCAACTGCTGCAGCTCTTCCTTTTCCTGCAGACGTGAGACAGGCACAGGTTTGGAGTGAAGTTCTGATGTCCGACTTATGTAATCCATTATAAGGCAACTATAAAACTGGTACCATTGTTGATGCCATCAGAGGATCTTCTGGAACAGAGTTAAAAAAAAAAAATTAGTGACTTAGAGGAGTGGTTTCTAGCTGACGGTCTATAGAACAATTTTAGGAGGCCCATAATATCATTTAGACACACACACACAAACACCTCCTCCCACACACACAATTCAACACTATTTTTTTTACTGGCGATTCTGATATAGATTTTTAAAGAAAAGATTAAAATTGTCACAGATTTTTAATATTTGGGCTCATTAGCGAACAATTATAAGGACTGCACACAAAAACATTAAAAAAATTTAGAAAAAGATTTGCTTGATCAATGCAGAGAAACATATGGCGCAGCACCTGCAAGCCAGTAGAAATAAAATTCTTCGATCATGCATCTTTCCCAAGGCAACTTATGGATGTGAGTCAAGGAATATGTATGTTTGTAAGTTGTACCCCACCAGGACATCACACAAGTAATAGATAAACACCTGGTGACACAAAGTGCTAACATGCGGATGAGGATCACCCTTAGAGAGGTCCCAGATACCCCTTTCAGCTGTTTAGGCCACATTTATAGCCCGGCTATATTCAGGGCCCCTGTCAAAAGCCGAAGAGGGAAGGGGGTGGGGTTTGAATAAAAAAAAAAAATTGCATCCCACATGGGGACAACTAGATTTAGATATGTGAGTTATGGACCTTTATTCATTTAAGAAATAAATCAGAGCTTGTAAATGAAAATGGTACAGAAAATCTCTCACAATATCATGGACCAAGAAAAATAAAAACAACATTCTGCATGTTCTGAGCATCGAGGAAAACTGGTTCGCAAACGGCATCCCGTCCTAAAAGCTGAGGTATTTTGGTCATGTTAACTCTTTGAGTCCCAGGGGGTTTAGCATCACAGGCCCAGGGGGTAGTAAATAAAGTCATAAAATCGGCACATCATGCATTCATTGGGCTTCTAGGTAGAAAGCCATAAATGTATGATGCGTTCCTTGGGACTCGGTGGCTTTGAGAGAACAGTAATGGAGGGTACAGTTTCCAGAAGACAAGACAGGGGCCAATTTCCACGATGGTGGATACGAGACATTGAAGATGCATTGGTTAGGAAAGAACTGTAGAACTGGTTAAAGAAAGAGAGACATTCATCTGTAATGTGACAAAAGTGACATTCTGTATAGGACATGCTGATTGATGGTATTTAAAGATTTTGTTTTAAAAATATGACTAGTTAAACACATAGTGTAGGCGATATCGCCATCTTAAAAAAAAAAACATGTTTTCATTCCTAGTGAGCAGACAATCACAGCAGAGAAGGAAGGCCATGGCAGAACTTTAAAAATTAGTGGGGTCTGCAGCAGAACTCTAAAAATTAGAGGGGTCTGTGACAGAATTTTAAAAATTAAAGGGATCCACAGCACAGCTTTTAAATTAAAAGGGGTCTGTGGCAGAGCTCTAGAAATTAAAGGAGTCTGCGGCAAAACTCTAAAAATTAGAGGGTTCTGCGGCAAAACTCTAAAAATTAGAGGGGTCTACAGCAGAACTTTAAAAATTAGAGGGGTCTGCATCAGAATTTTAAAATTAGAGGGGTCTGTGGCAGAATTAAAAAAGTTAGAGGGTTCGCAGCACAGTTTTTAAAACTTGAGAACTTTAAAAATTAGAGGTGTGTGGGGCAGAACTTTTAAAATTAGAGGGGTCCGGGGGTCTTATCCAAATGGGAATAAATGGCTTAGAGGTTAGTGACAATATTTTTTTAATGCAAGCCTTGACATTTAGCAGGCTTTGATTCCCAAGGTAAGCAGTAAAGGAAAAAAAAAAAAACACATTCTCATGGCTTTTTGACATGAGTAAAAGAGCTGGCATTATGCAAGAGATTGTAGCTTTAATATGTTATGTTTGAGTAGTTAGCTCTAGATACATTGAAGCCAACCTCCATAATTTGATATTCATGTGATGTTTTTATTTTTTTATTTTAACCTTAAAATTACAACAAAAAAACCAGTAAATTCTGTCAGTCACGAGGTCTTCTCATCATTCTTCTAGTGTAATACATGACATGATGATGTGGTCAAGGCCATTTTAAAAGAAGCAACAAAATCAGAAGAAAAAGAAGATTATTATGGCCTGGAGAGAATGAGCCACCTGGGTGAAACCATAGGGTCTAGCTTGCTGACTACACTCAGAGGAAAGGTCGGATGGACATTTAACCAGATTGTGACCGGTACCATTAGTACTGGAACTCTGCACTGGCTGCTGAAGATGAGGACAGAGCATGCATGGGAATGCCATGAGTGCTGTGATGTCAATTGTTGACTTAACTCTTCTAGTGTAGTATTATTAGTACTAGCAGAACTAGTACTACTAATACTACGGCTCTCCTCCGAATGTCTAACCCCACATTATGGCGGCCTGAAATATCCGTTCGGTGCTCAGTTCTATTAAAAATTTGCCGGCTCGGGATAACGAAACAAATGCTCTAACAGGGTCTCAGCGATATGTTAATTGCGGACATGTTTCTTATTGTTTCTGATTACCTGACAATTCTAAGAGACGCAACACTGCAGACGATAGTAGCACACGATAATAGCGACCGTTGACACTTTCCACAGTCGGACTTTTTGCCGAGGAACAAATATGTAAAATGGGGACTTGTCGGACTTTCTGCCGACAAATAAATCGTGGCAAATCTAGGATCCGCTCGGAAAAACGTAACAAATGCTCTAACTGGGTCTCAGCGATATGTTACTTGCGGACCTGTTTCTGTGACTATGCCTCACCGCCGACCGTATCCCCCCGCAGCTACGCGCGGCGCGGATAGGGGCTAAACTAGATGGTTGGGACTCACGAGCAGCAGCTACCGAATCTCCTGCAACTTCCTCTAATTAGTTTGCTCGGCGGTGAGTTTAATTGCTTTTTGCGCATGCCGACAAATCTGACATCTACCGCTGCTAAGTCCTCAATCGGAAGAACAGTATTGCTAATCTGCGTGGGAGGGCGTGGTCTACCTGCCATACCGCTTTCATCGTCTGTAATGTCTCGGGATTGTCACCGGTCGCTTTTATCGTCTGCTACTATCGTCTGCAATGTTGCGTCTCTTGAAATTGTCAAGTAATTTGTTCCTTGGCAGAAAGTCCGCATTTTTCATTGGACTGAGCCCCGAACGGATATTTTAGGCCGCCATACTGCGGGGGTAGAAGTTCGGAGGAGAGCCAATACTAGGCTACTATTAGTATTATATTAGTTTTGTGATTTGCATTGCAAAAAATATAGAAGTATGAAACAATGCCGATTTGTATAAAGTTGCTAAGAAAAACATACCAGCGCTGCATGCCACGAATATCCAGTCTTCTCCTTATATTTTATTCATTTTGGGAAAATTGACTAAAACACATACCCACTGGTAGAGACAGCCCTCGGTCTCCCGTGTGACAGAAGTCGTGTAAATATTTGTTGACTCGTCTCCAGGAAGTAAGGGCAGGTTACTTCCCGCGCATGCGTCACACCTGCTGTTTTCATGGCGGTATTTTGGAACATGTTATGATAAGTAATGCTCCATTCCTTGATTGTGTATTTCACTTCTTGTGTTTGAAAGAGGCTGCCCGGCCGAAACGTTACGTTGTGTTGTTTTGTGCACGTTTTCCTCTTTCCCATTTTGTTGAGCTTTTTAGTCAAATTTCTCTGGAATTCATTTTATGATAAGTAATGGCAAACTACTGGGCGTAAATTTGCCTAGTAAAACCACACAACGGCCAGGGGCTGATGGGGTTGGTTCTGCAACGTCCTGTAAAGGATACGCAACTAACCTTTTATGATAAGTAATAATTTTTGAAAAATGCAAGTTAAGCCCTCTAAGTTATAATTACAACATAAAGTGTTCATCG